ATAGATTGGCCTGGGATCTAGAGACCCTCCAGGGACACATTCTGGCTCTATAAAGTGGGTACTCTTAATTAAATAATTAACTAAGGGGGAACTTGAGCATGATACTGGGCCAATCTCCTCCTTACACAACTGTTAGCCTTGAAACAGCACTTCCTCACAAAGTAATGAACCCAAGGGTCGTAGGGGTGAAGGTTTTAAGTGTACATTATTCCTTATTCATGATAATACAGTTTTTAAGCTGAACGTGACACAATTGAAAGTAATCTTATTATTTGATGATACATAAATCTATCAAGAAATGTAGATAAAACCTATTCAAAAAAATATAAAACAAAATAAGAAACTAGTGAATTAATTTAAATTTAAAACAAGTTTTACACGTTATGTTGTTTTGGAAATTTCAATCTAGTGTAGTTAGAATATTAAATGTAAAATATAAATGAGTTCAGTGCACTAGTTCATGCACAAGTTCATGCACAAATAGCATGACAATACGGTGTTAGGCTCAGAGAGAGTATCAGTATATAACATTAAATTATAGTAAAAATATTTAAAACCTGGTTCTTATATGGTTCACTGTTGTGCTTTCCAAATTAGGAGATTTTCCATTTACAATATTTTGATGATAGTGATTTTGTATAGAATTGACAGCTTAAATTTAGCTCATGTATATATTGTAATTTGCCTAAGTTATACCTGTCATCATACTTGATAGTGTTATTTACTTATCTTCTTTATCAATACCTGCTTATTTTTTAGGATAAAGTTTTAGTAATTTGGGGGAGAAATATTTTATTATATTCTATAAAATAAATGACTGATGAAAAGAATTTTATAAGTATTTATATTTCATTATTAGCTTATTTCGGAATATTACTTGTACCTTTACATTTATAATAATAATCCTTGTTGATTCAGGACATGTCCTTTTAGAATGAAATACAATAATAGAATTGAAGTATTTAGAACCTTAGATAGAAAAGAATAACAGAATAAACTAATAGAAAATTATAAGTTAGCTTTTAAAATAATAAATTTTAAAAAAAAGTTCAGTATAGTCTTGATTTTTTTAAATTTTATCTCATGTCTATATAAACATACAGGAATCCTACTTCTTTTCTATTACAAGTTCCATTGCAGTTATTCTGTGTCGCATTGTTTATTTATCATAGATTTTTAAAAGTATAATTTCTGTTTTTTGTACAAGTGAATTTTCTTAGTTTTCGCCGTGGACATCCGGTTTCTTTCGTTTCGAAATTTCATGGCCTAGCAGATAATGATCTTCAAAAAAGAAGCGACTATCTTCTTGGAGAGATCAAAGTAAGTTGTATGACACTTAATTTATTTTACATTTTTCTGTACTCTTCTTTTCATACTGGTGAAAAGAATTTTCACAGACATTTTTATTTCATCATAACTTATTATCTGCATATTGACATCAGATCATTAACACCAATATTATTTGAATTTTTGCATTTACAGGTGCAGTGCAGTGGTTCTAACTTAAAATATATATATCTATATAAATCTTACTTAATTTCTATTACAAGTTCTGGTGCGGTTTGGGTGTGTCGCTTTGTGTATTTATTATAGATATTTAAAAGTATAGTTTCTGTTCCTTGAACCAGTGAATTTTCTTAGTTTCCGCCGTGGACATCCGGTTTTATTCCGTTTCGAAATCTGCTGGGTTTAAAGACCTTGGCGGATAGTGGACTTCAAGAAAGAAACAACCGTCTTCTTCGAGAGAGATCAATGGTAAGTTGTTATTATTAATGAATGGTAATAATAATAATTATTTTTTTTCCTGTGCTTGTATTGAAAGAAGCTTATGTGAAAAATTTGTCATATAACAAATTTTTTTCATAATGAAAAAGGCTCATGAGAAATTCCTTGCAGTTTAATGACTATTTATTGAAGATTCTACACTCCAAAATTGATCTTTATAACATTAAAAGAATTTAGAGCTTAATTGTGTATGAGAATAAGAAATTTTTAATTAATAAATCAGTTTTCTTAAAATCATCATTTTTAAAATGTATCATTTTTCTGTCATTACTAAACATAATATGTATTTAAAAATAATTAATTTAACATATTAGAACAAATTAATAAATTGTTTATGTAATGAATTCTGAAATTTAAAACATTTTACTTTCCGATATGGCCCAATCCAGATACTTATTCTTCCATAATAAACATCAGAACCATCTGAGCCCTCTCGTTTCTAACCTTGCTTCCGCTTTGATTCCTGAAAACTCTCCGAGGCATCTTAAAAGTCTAAATACATTTTTATACCTATATACATATACATTTTGTGCTACCAGAGGGTAGTTTATGAACAAGTGTTTTCATGTTATTATATTCCTGTTATCACATTTACCAAATGTATTTTTATTTTTAATACAGTTGTAAATATCAAAAACAAATATTATTAAAAAAAAATTATCTTACTACATTTTAAAATTAATGCAAATTCATAATGACCTCCACATGTTCTCTTGAATCAAGTATTTATATTATAAATTATAAAACAATTTCATCTATTAATTCATACATATTGAGTTGGTCAATATATTTCAAAATTTACTTTATAGATAATGTAAAATTGAAGTTACGACCACGGTACAGGCTTATAACTAACGAAGAATTGTTTGAAAACAACTTCAACTATTATTTTGTGAATATTGTAATATTGAAATTAAATTTAATAATGAAGAACGGAAAGATAAACAGAGAATAGATTTTGTAATCTTTTTAATAATAAGTTGTTTATTTTATTTTCAGATTGGTAGCTGTGGTTCATGGATATATAAAAAAAGGTAATTAAATTATTTATTAGTATTATTATATTTATTTTTATTTGATCTAAATATAATGATTGTACAATTACAACTGGTATTTTTTGGAGATAGTAAGGCTGTTTTATCATTTTTGTAAATAAGTTTTTCCTTAGTTATCGATTGATGAAGGGTAAGTGCCTTTTTGTACATATATGGAAGTACACTAACCATTTACAGAGCATTGATTCTAAATACTTTTACAAATCAATCGTGAGGTTTCCATAAAGGTGGTGTATAATAAATTGTAAAGTAATCAGTCTCAGCCTGTTGATTAAGGTGCATTTTTCAAATTCCGTGATGTTTATGCATCACTAGGCTTGGGAATTTTTTTTTTTTTTTTTTTTTTTTTTTTTTTTTTTTTTTTTTTTTTTTTTTTTTTTTTTTTGCGGTAAGCAAACCTTCAGAGATTTTTCTTCAAAACACTTAGTGATTTATATAGCTCCTTAACAGTTTGAAACCACTATTCCTTAGTTGTCAAGGAAAAACTTAATAATAGAGGTAAGAGCAGATACTATTGTGGGAACAGAACTTAATCCTACTAGCATGTTTTTCCGAAAAAACTGTGAAATAGCATATCAAAATGAAAATTTTTTTATTTGTTTTTTTCAATTATGTTCTTAATTCCATTTCCAAGAATTTCACTGAAGACAGTAAAATGTGAATCTTAGACAAGTTTTAAATTATTTCGATGATTAGATCAGTAAAATTATTGTCTGGAAAACGATGTATGTTACATTTGCCCCACAAACCATACCTCTTATTAAGGCTGGGGCAAGTGCATAATAAGTATTACAACATTGAATTATCAATCTCATAAATATGGACATGGTTGAAATGTTTACTTAAGTTATATTTAAAATACAATTGTCTCAGGAAAATTTTAAAATATATAAAAAGTTTAAACTGAAAAAAAGAGTAACAAAAGTTAGTGGTGACCCAGTAAAAAATCTATAAGAACTTTCTCCAAAAGCATTATGAAGGTGATACGACTGGACAGAAGTAGTTCCTGCTTTTTCTACATGATCAATCTCAATTGGGGTTATAAGCTCTAGAAATACACATCTGATTTAAATTAATTTTTTGTTTTGTTTTGAAGAGAATTTAGGAATATCTTTCATATTTCATGGATGTAATCAACCATATATTGTATACTTTTTGAGTTAGTAATATTTCATTTTCATCAAAACATTTTTGGGGATTTGCTCATTTTTTATAAGACTGGCTCTTGATTTATATTTTCCTAGGTGATCAATTTTTCTTTTTCTGGTTACTTTAAAAGTAAACTAAAAGATTTGTTTTACCTAAAGCAAATTTGGTTCCCTCAGCTATTCAATGGCTAAATCCTTAACACACCAATGGCTAAGTGATACCTCGTAACTGTAAATAAAAAACAATTCAAATTTGGACATTAATATCTTGAAACTACATGCCGACTGAATTTTTTATTTACAGGTGACATCTAAAAACCTCAATTCAAAACATCTATCTGAATATCTAATAATAGTAATAAATTTTCTAATAACTCTTATCAGGGATGCAAGTTGCATACGTATGAGTTCAACAGTAAGCTTGAAGGGCGAACATTATTTTATGAGACAAATTTTCAGAGTGAACCATATTTTTACAGAGGTTCAATATCGAAATTATTTTATAGAAACTTTCAAATCAGAGGACAAGAGAAAAGCTAAAATACAACTTTTATAATTAAATTTCTTGAAAGGAGGCATCCCTGACTCGTTTTATCACAAACAGCGAACAGTTGAAAAACTGAAAATGATATCCAATTTTGATTGGCCTTCTCAGCCATGAAAAATACCTAATAACTTTATAGATTTTTATAATTCTTTTTAAAGTATTTCATTGTCCCTGTTCTAGTCAGTTTGCAGATACAAGGTATCACCTCTCAACCTTTGAATTATTTATGACATAATTATTGAAAATAATTATTCATTTTTTTTTGTTAGTTCCTTTTTTGTAATACATTAACAAAACATTGTATATAATAACTCATTTGAGAATTTTCATTACATATTATCAAACTTAATCATATATTTTTGTTGCATCATAAGATTCTAATTTTTCATTTCAATCTTCTTCTTTTTTTAAATTAAATCAAGACAGGAAAAGGCATGATAAAATAAGAAAACCATAATTGATTGCATTGTTCAGTGTTATATTTGTTCACCAGATGTATCAGCATCTGGCATAATATATTTATATATATATATATATATTTATTTAAGTGAACCAAAATTATAGAATATAATAAATATAATACCTTATTTCAGAAATGTAACATAAATTATATTTAGGCATACAATAATTTGGTCCAAAATAGGATAATGTTTCAATTTATACATTTTTTTTCTTTTAATATCTGTTTTGCTCTAACGGATGGAAAAAATCTGAAATAAATAGAAAACTTTATCATAATTTCCAATCACAACTAGACATATAGAAACAAATGCCTTTGCCTTATAACTTATACAAAACAAAAATATATCTCTGCTCATTTACGTAATAATACAACAGCTATTTTTTTTTTAAACAGAACTGCACTCTAGTCAATATTATATTAACTTGTAATTTAACGTAGGTACTAATTCTTATTGTATATTTATACAATGTGCCAGAATGAAGAAGAGCATGAACTCTAACCACCTCGGGTCAATTTATTCATTCTGATACATGAAACTCAAAATACCTATTCTCTTGTAGAAATTATGTTCCCTCGACACATTTTCTTTTTTTTTTCATTGTAAATTTTTATTTCAGTATGAGATGGAAAGAAATTAATAACCCCTTGTATTGAGTTCTGTTAAATATAATAAAGGCTTAAATTTCTAACATAGAGCACTTATAAGAATAATAGTGACAAAAATCAAAAATGTTTTTCCCCTTTTCTTCGATAATAAACAAAACATACAATTAACACAACTTGAGAACAATTTACAAGATATTGATTGTACTAACTTTCATATAAACTAGAGAGAACAGACAATTAAAATATATTTTCAAAACTTTTGTACTGTGATTGTTTCGTCAGACGACAGCATTTGTCTAAAGATCCATTTGCAACAGAGCACACAATAGAGCTACGGGTATTAAACCTAATACATCACCGTATAATACTTGGCAAATTAAATGTACAAAGAGACACCTACACTCTTATGACGAGCAGGTAACGCGCACATATTTTAGAATATACAATTTGAGTAAGGTGAGGTCAACTACCATTATATCGTCTCCTCACGTTAGATGAGATCATTATGTCTTAATAAAACAAAACAGACACAATCTTGCAAAAGGCACTGGGTTTCTTTATTTTGTTCTCCAAATCTAGAAAATTCTCCGTCCAAGACACATTTAGATTAAATTATTTGAGATTTTCTGATCTATATAATTCTATAATAGGAGTTGACACACATTTAACATTAAGATAAATATAACAATTTGACAGGCTCCAAAGAGTGTAGGTCTTTATTTATACAATATATGATAATTTATAATACATCAACCTCCCCCTCACTTATCTATCGATCCCGATACGCACAGAAAACACTTCTTCTTGATCACTTTAAGGACTAACATTAATTTTGATTCAAGTTTTTGTCAAATACTTTATAAAAATCTAGATTTAAAGTAATCTGATACGTTTGTTGGATTTTGTTTAGGTTCGTTTATACAGTTAAAATATATCTATAAAATCAAACTGTCAACAGTTCAACTAATGCCCAAGTTCTGCGCACCAACAAATCGTATTGAAATATTGTTTTGTGTGCGTATGGGCCGCTACTACACTGTAGTGACGATTCTAATAGTCTAATAAAACGATGGTAAAAGCGGTTAGTACACAGAGATAAATGAAGAACAGTTTTTGTCACTTTTAGAATTTCAGTCACGCACAATTGCAAAACACAACATCTCGACACCCACATCCTAAAATCAAAGTATAATTTCTACCATCTTTTGACTACATTTGGTTCCGACAGGATTTAAAATATAATATTTCGATAATCATCGATTATTTTTACTTTTTAATTTTAATCTTTACTATTGTAACTATTCAATTATAACTAATAGAAGAAAAAACTGGCCGCCACTTAGATAACTTTATATACTTGTGTGCCATTATAATAGATAATATTATTAGTATTAATATTTACACAGTTTTAAATACAATACGGTCGCTTCATTCTTGCTCCATGAGCGACCGGGCATCATATATATCTACAATTAGCAATAAACCACGGTTTTCATTTACAAAATTGTGGTTTCCGCTAGTACATATCTTATTTCTTTTAATAGGAATATTGGTCAGGTAAAAGAGGACATTCTCCTTAATACAATTGCCACCCACATGGTACGATTGACCAGTACCAGAGGCATAAAATAGTTTCGGCGAGAATTACACCTCATGGTTTAAATCCATCACATTTCACAGAAACACTTCTGTTATATACTAGCCTGATGGGACAAGTTGAATTTTCGGTAGGAGAGGGGGCAAAATATAAAATTTGCCTAAAAACTAGATAAAAATTGACAATTGATGGAAAGGAACTGAAAATACTCAAATTCACCCATCGGCAAAGTCTGCTCATGCGAGGGCATTAAACCACAAAATAAGGAAGAGGTGGGAGAAGAGGAACATTGCGCACTTTTATATATAGAAATATATACATTAATATTTATGCATACATTCATCGTCTTTTGACAAAATGGCAACTCTAGAATTGTTTAAGAAAGGAACATTGAGGCTTAAAGATGTCTTCACTCGAAGAGAGCAAGTATGTCGTCGCTGGTATTTGCAGTAGGGGTACCGATGTTACCATTGCTCGAGGCACCGCTGCTCGGAGGTGTCGCCAAGTCTGGTGGGTCGAGATAGGATAACAGTTCCATGGGATCCACTACATTGTCAGGTAACAGCTGGAATAGACAATACAATTAATTTAAATAATCAGAAACAAAGCAATAATTAGTTCAAATAAAACTTTAAAAAATATTTAAATCTGTTAACATTACAAATCAGTCACATTCATTGTTATTAAAAAAACAGTTATAATTCCTTTTTATTTAAAAAAAAAAAATAATCCTGTCTCCTGATATATTGAACAAGGAAGGTCCTTTAAAAAATTGATAAATATAGTGATATTACAATTCATTATTCTTTTGCATTAAAAACAATCATAATTATATTTTAAGGATATAAGAAATATTGGAAGACATTTTTTAATGTATTACTTGTATTGCAGTTTAACAACACTTTTGGGACTCAAATTTTTGGGAATTTTAATCATATCAGAACTCCTCCAAAACCATTAAATGTTTTACGAATAGAAGCACTTCGTAAATTGTTGATACCTTACTTGACATAATTTCATATTTCTTTTGCCCCATGTTTATGTTCATACCCCTTTTCGATTCTTATATAAAGTTAAACCTTTCTTACACTGATGATTCGTTTACGAACTATGTAAATAACCAAAAGATAAACTTATAGTCAGTGGTACAGACCCCTTTTTTATTGAATTATTAACATCCGGCTGAAACTTCATAAATAGCTTAAGTAACCTTCAAATATTTTATTTACGAAAATTCTTGGAGCATTTTCAATCTAGAGGTCGACAAAACTTTGTTCATTTAATTAGGTACTAAAAACGTGTAAATACCCAATTGCTTTCCACTTGAATCCTAAGATAACCTGAGCACAAATTCAAGAAAAAAGGTGGCCTTGAAAAATATTGAGCCGTTTGGTGTGATCTACACCCCCAAATTGTCTAAGTAACGAGGTTATACAGGCCAAACGACTCAATATTTTTGAAGGCCACCTTTTTTCATGACTTTGCGCTCAAGTTATCTCACGATTCAAGTGGAAACCAAATGCTTACTTACGAGTTTTTAGTACCTAATTAAATAGACAAAGTTTGCCAACCTCCAGATTCAAAACGCCCCAATTCCGAGAATTTTCGTAAATAAAATATTAGTAGGTTACGATGAGATGAAGCTATTTACGAAGTTTCAGCCAGATGTTAATGATTTGATAAAAAGAGGTCTGTACTACAGACTATTATACTGAATTTAAAATGTAAACTTCGCTGTGTTAAAATAGATATTTATAGAACTGCATTCCTGCTACTACAGCAATTGGTTCTAGTAATCAAGAACAAGCAAGACCTTATCCAAATTTTTATTATTTTGCAATAAAGTGAAATATATTAATTTGTTTTAAATTGCATTATAACAAATTGTGACTTTTTATTTGATCTAAAGAAATATTTCTTTATAAACTGATTTTTTGTTTAATGAAAATTTCTAAAAGAAAGCTCTGATAAAAGGATGTTTAGTTAGGGATGTAAATTATTAAAAAATATATTAAAATTTTTCAAATATACCAAATAGAAATTTAATAAATAAAAAAATAATACATTTTGGGCCTCACTAATCCTAATCTTTGAAAAGAGTAGGTAATTTTTATTTTCACTTACTTGTATATGAAATATATAGTAAGAGAAAGTATTGCGATCGTGAAAATTTTCGAATTTGAATTAACTACGGAAATACATTTTTTGAGGTCCCCTGAGTAAAAATAACGAAGTCCTGCAAAATGGTCTGTATGTGTGTGTTAACAGTCTAGCTCAAAAACAAAAATACGTACGAAAGTGAAATTGTATATTTAAAGTTTTTATTTGCTTGGGATGTTACAGCAACTTTTTCATCAAATCGGTAGTAGCACTTTATATCTCATTTAACTAAACACATTTTTATGATTATCTCGAAAACGGATCTAGCGATTTTGATTAAATTCATTATATCAGTGTAAAATTAAGCACTTTTTAATAAAATATAGGTTTTATTCTGATTGATGTTCTGTAATAGGGCTTGATTTTCAATATTGGCTTCCCGTAAAGTACCTTTAATTTTTTTTATTTGAAACAATTGACTATTTCAAATTAATCTGCAATATAAAAGATAGTCAAATATAAAATATGAAAGAATTTGATAATTAACTAAAGGAAAAATAAGAGATCATAACGGAGAATAATTGTAATTGAGGAACCAAAGGAATATGAGCGCACACGAGCTCGCCCAAGAGATTAGAGCACGCTTTCATACATAACATGAGTTTAATATAATAACTCCAGCAATATGATATAAATATACATATGTGGTTTTCATAAATGCTATTGTTGGTTTTATTTAATATTTAATTGTATAGATTATAGCGATATATTAAAATTTGTAAATATTAGGGTACTTATACAAATAAAAATACCCGCAATGAAATATAAATCAATATAGCATTTTTACTTTCACTTTTCCTTTGTCTGAAAACAATTATTTCTGCTATGAAGAGGGTGGTAAGTGAAAGTTACATGATGCTGCGCCGTACCAGATTTTTTATATTACCAAAGATGTTAATTTAAAAAAAAAAAAAATCTGGTGCAGGCATCATACAACTTTCATTTACTGCTCTAGTTTAAACAGAAATTATTTTCATTGCGGAATTCGGGCCATTACAAAAGGTTTTTGAGGTAAATTTTCAATGATGTTGAAGTGTATAATCATCAATGCAAAAACTCTTTAAGATAATCGTAACACAAACCCTATTTATTATGTTGATGGAAGATAATGAAATCCTCGTAATGCCATTTGTCTGTTTGAACCAATGTATAAAGAGAGATTTAAAATTACATATATTTAATCAATGAATAAGTAAAGATTGTACTACATAGTAAAAATTATAGAAATTAAATATGTATCACTTTTTACATGTATTTAAAATCTTATTTGTTTCCTTATAAAAGTTCCTAAAATACAGTTACAGCTTTTCATAACAGTATTGTTATGAAGAAAATTGTGAAACGAATTGTAAGAGCATAATGTTGTTATTTCAAAAACAGAAAATACACCAATTGTTCATTCATTTTATTTTCTGAAATGTGTTTTAGAAAAACTCGAAGATATATACCTAATTACTTATTTAGATTGTCGGATCTAGTTATTAAATTCCAGTAAATGAATTAAGGTTATAAACATATGTTTTACTCAACAATAAAACGTTTCTATATTATACTTCTTTCAGATAAACCTGGATGCATTTGGCACTCCATGAACAAATGTGACTGAAGTGATTGTGAACCATGCTTAACCCGTGCGGTCCTCATCTAAATAATTACCCATACTTTTTCAAAACTTAAAAATAATTTTTGAAGTTTACATTTAGTCAGGGAATTTCATTTTGTCTCCATGGAAACATTTATATTTATACAGAAATAAAATAGAATTTCCGGTTGGCCGATTTTAGAGGAAAAGTTACAGTAACATCCTAATATAATTAATAGTAATATCCTAGGCATATACCTAACTTAAATATGTAATTTCAGTTTCACATGGCATTTAGTTTTTGAGTTAGGCTATTCACATACACAAAAACAGAGACTATTTTGCAGGACTTGGTTATTCGGACTCGGGAGACCTCAAAACGTATATTTCCGTTGAAAAGTCAGATTCAAAAATTTTCATGATCGCAATACTTTCCCTTACTATATATTATATATATAGGTAAATGAAGGTTGTAATATTGAAAATAATTAAAATTATTTCATACTCAACAAAAATGAATAAATGAAGAAATTGTATTAAAATAATTCACATTTTTGTTACAAACTCAAGAAAGGAAATATAAATTATTACTACTATGATAAAAAAAAATTATTTTCTGGCAATTAAATTATAAAAATTGCATTTTTAACGAGCTAAAGCTAAAAACTCACAGCTAACAAATCATAAATACCATTAAAATAACGAAAGTCTTATTTATTATATCACCGGTTGATTATGGGTTGTATGATCCGTTGATTATGGATTAGTTATTAACTATTAGTTATTAAGCTGTTATTTTCCATTGCAAATAAAATCAAATTAAGAGATTTGCATTGTCTGTAATAGACAGGTCAAAATTTTCACACTAATACTGTTAGAATCACACAAAGTGGATACTGTTAGAATATCACAAAGGGAAAATTCATCAAATTATTCACTAATTTAATTTTCTAAAATATTACATGATGATTTTTCAGAAAAAACGGATAGTAGATACCTAATTATTTAAATATAATATCAAATCTAGAGTTATTAAACTACAGTAAATATATTTAAGGTTATAAACATATCCATGAAGTATTTTTTATATTTCTCTTCTTCTTTCACACAAGTACAATGAAATAGTATCTTAAACAGTGTCATTGCCTTGAATCCGTGGGTTTTAAATACTTTTTCAAAATTAAAAAAAAAAAAAATGTTAAAAGTTCATTTGATTTCCTTGAAAACATGTGATTTAAGTTAAATAATGTTAGTGTTTAGAAAACATTAATTATATTTTTTTCACCACTCTCTGTTACCTTCAACAATTTTTTATTTTAGATGTTTTTTTTTTTTTTGTTTTTTTAATTCTCCGCTTTCCAACGATATATTATACGTATACCTTCTGACTATTTCGATATTCATATTCGGCCTGGATATGTATTTTTCTTTTTTTTTTCCCCATATTCAATTATCAAATGCTTTCAAAAGTTATAGTTAGCATTTTTTCATATCTCCTAATCATGAGAAATAGTTATTACTTGTAATAAACCAAATTAAATGTACTTTAGAGGAAGAAATGATAATGTTGGAATTTCACAAAGGAAAGATTCATCAAATTATTCACTAAATTAATTTTCTAAGTTGCCTGACAATTGTTTGAAATAAATGGACATTGATACCTACTTATTTAAGTATAATATCAGATCTAGAATTGTTACTCTAAAGTAAATTTATTTAAAATGATGTAGAGATGGTTGACCGGGATATAATATGAGTTGGTCGGGGGGTGCGGTCAAATAAATACTAAATTTTAGAAAATAGTATTTTTAATTAAATTATTTGACCGAACCCCTCATAAATTTATTTAAGGTTATAAACATATTCTTTATACATCCATGAAATGATTTGATATTTCACTTCTCCTTTCACACAAGTACAATGTAATAGTTTTTTAAACAATGGCATTGCCTTGATTAGGTGAATTTTAAATACTTTTTTAAGGTTACATTTAACTAGTAAATTTCATTTAATTTCCTTGAAAACATGTGATTAACATTAAAGAATATTAGTTTTCAAAAAATATTATTTATAATTTTGTTGCCACTCCATGTTACCTTCTACAACTTTTTATATTAGATATTGTTTTGTTTTTTAAATTCTCCGCTTCCCAACGATATATTACATGTATACCTTCTGAGGAGTATTTCCGGAGATTCATTTTCAACCTGGATAAGCATTTTTATTTTCTTCTCCTTTATTCAATTATCAAATTATTCGAAAAGTTATATTTAGAATTTTTTTTGTAACTTTTAATAATGAGAGATAGTTAATTATTTAAAATAAACCATATTAAATGTACTTTAGTAGAAGACGCATATGAACATTGGGTATTTAAGCCGTGTAGAGTGACATCAACAGGGATAAGACCTAAATGATACACCGAGTTTAATCAAAATCGTTAGAGCCGTTTTTGAGATAATTGTGAAAATGTGTTTCACCGTTGATATAAGGTGGCACTTCCGGTTAGCCAATTTTAAGGAAAAAGTTGCTAGGACATCTAAGGCATATACCTATCTTAAATGCATAATATCGGTTTTGTAAGACCTTTTGTTTTTGAGCTAGACTGCTAACACACACACAGACCATTTTTCGAGAATTGGTTATTTGGGTGCACCGAAACGTGTAAGTGAAAGTAAAAACCAGTTATTCAAGTACCATTGACCAATCCTATTGAATCGTAACTTTGTGACTAACCTAATTATCTTGGGAGAATAATATATTACTAGGAGGACAGAGTTTTCTCGAAATGTGCAACTAAATTTGCAATCAAATACTAAGTTTTGATTAATTTATTTATGACTAACAGGCAAATAAACCACTATTAAAAAAGTTAGTTAAATCAATATTTTTCAGGAATTATTTTGAAATTTCATTTTTATGTGATTCTTTTCAAAATTTTGTTTTTCGATAGTCAATTTTAAATGAAGCTATATCAATATTTTAATATTTTTTCAACATTCCTATGTTCAATATACCATTATTTGTTTTGTAATATTAAAGGAAATATACTATTTTTAATGAATTATAAATATATTAAATCAATTATTGAATTTAGAACATTAAGTTTATTTTGGTACTTACATTTAGCCCTTCTTGGCCTTGCCCTTCTCCGTCAATTACTGCTGCAGGATCAAAGTTAAGATCAGAAGGGATGTCGTCCGACGGGTTCGGTTCTGGAGGAGGAGGCACACTCGGAGGCCCGCTCCCAGCGCCGGCTGGAGTGTGAGGTGTGTGGGGGGTATGTGGCGTGTGGGGGGTGTGGGGCATCTGAGAATAAAAAAAAGAATTTAATTATGAACATGAAATAATAAGTAATCAATAATCAAAAAGTACTATAATACTTAAAAATGATTACTTTTCAAGTTTTTCAATTTATCCTTAACAATTACCTGTTCGTTTAATGATTTCTCCATTGCATTAAGAGGATCTAAGGGAGGTTGACTGTCGTTTAGGTGAGAAAGAGGCGTTGTCGAGAAATCAGAACTGCTAGTTGTAGCAGGGTTGAACTCATAACTACGACCCATAGATCCGGCAGGATAGGGTGGTGGACCATTTGAATTCATCATAGAGCCACTTGCAATGCCTGTACAAGAGAAACAAGTTTTAATTTGACAGATTGAAAATCTGTTAAAATATCTTAATAAAACTTAATTTATATATATAAATATTACTGAAGAAATATAAATACTAACTATTCATATCCGGCGGTATATATGGTGACATTGATTGGCTCATGTCCCAATTGTTCATCGTCGGTAGGGTCATGCTTCCAGGAGACATGGCTTTGCTTATCCGTTTGTTTCCGCATGACTCGGTACCTTCATCTTCCGTCTGAAATAAAATTAAAATTCAATTATTTATCCTAAGTTGTTAGCGTTAAATCATAGTTTTATTGCCTAAATTTCAACACATGATGACCTACAGAATTGTGTTAAAACATAGGCATAACACTTTCTAAAAACCAAAACAGAATACTGATTTTTAATTTTTTATTGTTAACAAAAACAAAACTCTAGGAATTAATTTGATCCATTATCTTTTCTCGAGTTTAAATTTTATATTGTGTATAATTAAAATGTATTTTTCTTAAGAACTTGTACATGAACGATACTTGAGATATCTGGTGACCAAGTATTAAAGAAATGAGATCTAACGGATGGACATCCTACTCTTTCAAGGCGTTCAGTAAACAATCATACTAAAAATTGATGATTTTTGAGACATGACATTATAGAAAGGAAGGAGCAAAATATGTGTTATTTAGTGATGGCATGGAAATATAAATAATTTCTAATTACCTTGATGCCTTGCAACCCTCTCGAAGGCTTCCAATTGGCGGCAGCATCTATCGTTACCTCTTCAACTTCTGATGTATTAAGGGTGTTCAGAATGCCCCACATGTACTGGTCAACCTCCAGCCCCTCGAGCTGGGCGGGCTTGCTAAAAAATAATAATAATAATAAGGAATTTTGAAAATTTACTTAAATACATACATTATACATCTTAAATTGTACTATTAATATATTACGAGCAATAGGGGTAATGACATTTCAATTAATCATTAAAAATAGTTAGAATTCCTTAATTTTACATTTAATTATGTATGAAATGATGGACCTTAGTTATCTTGAAAAAAAAAGGTGAGTGTAGGAGCTCAAAATTAAACTTAAAAATGCTATAATGCAGACCTAATTATACTAATACTGATAATAATGACCAGTATTTGAAAAAGTTAAGCTTATTTTCTTTTATATCCGTGTTTTATTCACATGTTTCCATAGAACCCGATTTTATATATATTTATACAATATAGGAAGACACCAATCGCTCACTAGCTTATCGATCACTATATCTCAAAAATTAGAGTGGCTATGAAGTTTACATTTTAAATGTAATTCCTTATTCTTATGCTGCAGATGTGCAATTAGAGTTAGGTTTGAAAAATGTGTACCTTAGAGTATAAAAAAATATTTTTTGAATTATTTTATATTTAATTTTGATTCTATAAAAATGACTGAACTGCTATTATTATGTGTGATAAATTATAATACTTATCATATATAAAAATTTAATTTATATTAAGAAGTTTATACATGCATTATAGTTATTTTTATCGCAAACCTTTACCTCTAGACAGGATAAATTAAAATGTAATGGTGGAAATGAAATAATTTCAAGCTAAGCAGCAGTTAACAGCTATTTAATAATACAAATGGAAAAGTCAAAGATTTTTTTCTTTTTCTTTATGAGAAAAAAAGGATTTTTGAAAAAATATCCCATGCCAAGTATTTTTAGCTTGATGCCAATTTTTTAAAAAGTTGAACTTACTTGCAAACTGGACATCTCCATGCCCCTCTTTCACAATTAAGCTGCAGGTATGACTCGAGGTCAAAGCACTGAATATGCTTGCAGTCATGGCCTCTCGCAGGTAACGTGATCTTCTTAAAGGTTATCGGACACTTCAAGGATACCTGTGCAAGATAAAGGAAACAATATTAGAAATCTTATCTTCAGATATTTGATGATGATACACTGTTGTGATAGATGTAAATAATAAAGCAAGCGAAGATTATGAAAAACAATTTACCTTGAGAGCTGTCTGTTCCACTCCATCTTTTTCCACACAGTTGTACGAATTGGTGGACGACGTATTATTAAAATTTCTCTTTATTTTTGCTATACAGTGATCAGCGGTGAGGAGTCTTTTCCTCAAAAGACCTTGAAGTACACTTCTTACGCTGGGCCTATGCACCAGTTGAAGTACGAAAAGGTGCGACTGTAACAAAGAGAAAAACCATAGATAATAATCAACTCATGTGAATTAAATCCTATTTCTGATTCTATGTCAACAACTCGGTACTTACACAACAGCAGGCGGAGACAGTGATTTGTATAGTATTTCTACCCGCTTGGCAAACCTCCTTGAGATAGAGAGGTTTGTGAGATGTTTTGTTCTCTCCCCGGTCGATGGAAAGAGGTGTCGCATTTACAGAAACTTGCACACTTGCCGGCCAGTTTGTATTCATAGCACGATCCTCGTGATGAAAACACTTCAACTGAAGCTCCAAATCCGACCTGCACAAACAACCACAATTGTATACTGCTTGTTCTACAGCTTATGAAAACAAATTTTCTTAAACTGACAAATGAGAAAACTGAATAACTCACCTCCACATTAAAGTTTGGTGGACTGTAGGCTTCAGCTGGAAGACATGATTACTCACAGCGAGGTTGTGCTCCAGCCTGAAAGGGGGTAAGATTATACCATCTCGAACGGGGAATGTCAACCTCAGCTCATCATCCTCTGCAATCATACAAATGTTTGTTATCATCAACTGCCACATATATTGATAATAGAATATAACATGTGTAATAGAGAGAAAATCAAAGAATTAAAACCAGATATTATCAACAAACCTATGTACTGTAACAAGGGACTGTATTTATATATATTTAAATATTTTTCTCTGAGCTTTGTACATAGTTTTCATTTGAAGTGAATAACAATTTACTACATAATATATTAATTAAATTATTACATGGATTATGCTGATGACTTACTCGGTGGTATGATGGGCTGCTTTAAATCATTAAAACTAGGCTTAATGTCCGGGTAAGGGGGCATGCTGTTGGCTGGGGTGAGGGGCGGAGTCGGATTTCCAGGTATCGGGCTGTGCTGGTAAGAAGCCCGCTCTTGAAAACCTCCTCCTTGGTAAGGGTACTGGTAGGGAGGAGTCGCCTGCCTCATCCCACCGCCCCTCACTGCTCCGTTCCCGGGAAACATCGCCTGCTGCTGATACTGGGCTTGGAATGCTGGACCCCTAGCGCCATAACCTGCACCATACTGAAAACATAAAAATAAAAAACATTAATTTAATCATTAAAATAAATTTTCCTTAAAAAAAAAAAAAAAAAAAAAGATGTCTCTTCAACTGTTCATATTCTGTACACCAGTATATATATTCATTAGAACTTATAAATAAAGCATTATATTCTTAAGTCTGTCAACTCCATTACCCTATCTATATTATTTTAGTTTTTCTTCAACAACTTTTTATTACATTAATAAGTTGTTTAATTAAATACAATTCATCTGATAATGAAGGAAATTTTTCCAAAAAGTTCTTTGCAGAATTTCTTCTTCAACTTCCTCTTCGTACCTTTCAGTACTGAGATTCCTTGCAAAACTACTTAAAGCAACTAAAATTGTAAAACGAAGTTGGCTGGTTTTGTAATACATCTTAATTTAACAATTATCATTATATAAATAGGCAAACACAAAACAGTTCAGCCTCTTTTACTCCTCTATTATTCAACCGATTTTCCTTCTTTTTTTTGTTTAATAGATATCGACGAGTTTTAGTGTTATCAATAAATAAAAATATGAAATAGTATGTAAATAAAAATATAAACGGCATTTATTCAAAACAGCTAATCTCCGAAAGTTCTTCACTGATTTCTTTGAAATTTTTACACGTTGCAACAATATTTCGGAGTGTTTTTGTATACGTTTCATTATCATCAGGCCTTTCCTTTCAAAATGGCAGCTGAAAAACGTGGTTCGCTTTAGACTGTAGTGCCAATACGGCTTTAACAATTTTAATTAAACTTGGCTTAAGTCTTCCCCTTGAAACATTTATAATTTATGTATATAACATACTTTCCCAAAAACAAGCTGCATACATTTTTATGATGAATTCAGTATTTTATTTACGAATAACTCAAAAAGTACTCTTTTTTTTTTTTTTTATAATACCAATATTTATTTGAAAGCTCTCGTGATTTCCCATAAAATGATAAAAAAAAAAACACATCGAAAGAGGACTATTTGGTGTAGAGATATATCATTTTAAACATTTAGTATGTTTTCTTTTGGAAAGTCAATTTCCATTATTTTGGGTTTTGATAAATCAAAAATTTTACATTTAATGAAGTAATCAGGACTATTATTTGAAGAGATTATATCATTGAATGTCACCTCATAAACTAAATTAAAAATTGAATTCTATAGTTAAACTCATTCTTAACTTAAATACTACACAAGCATTAGTTAATGGAACACGAATGAGAGTGAAGTACTAACATGAGCTATTTTAAATAAAAGAATTTTAATTCCAAGAATTAATTTAATATTTTCTGGCACAATACTTCCATTCGAATCGCGACATCCAGTAATTTCATATAGACAATTATATGTGGCAGCAAGTAGAGCGCGTTTGAAATATTGAAATTTATATTTCCAATGGCAATATATATATATATATATATATTGGCAATGGGCAAGGCTATGTACTAAACAATAACAGAACATTCAAAAAGAACATTGTTTACAAAGAAGTTCTGCATAGAAATTGATTTAAACTGAGTTGGAATTATTAATTTAAATTTATTTTTTACTAGCTTAATCATAACATTAATCTATTGTGAGTTAAAATGGAAATTAAATATTTTTGAATGAGTCTATTTTGTATTACTTATAAATAATTTTAAGTAATTTAAGCTCAATTTTTAATTGAAGTTGAAATTTTTTTTGTATTAATAAATCAGAAGTTTAAAATCATGATTTACTCTTTATTTAATTATATGTTTTCCTCAAAAATATTAATGGCTATGGTCGAATTTTGACCATTGGGCGAAAACTAATCATTAATAAAAGTAATTTTTTCTAAAATTCGCATCTGCAATCTGACCGACAGTGGAATGTAAAACATAATTAACAAGATGCTAAACTTTAAGCTATCTTGTAATGGCTGATTTGTGATAAATTCATCCTTTTTAAGGGGAATCATGATAAGGCATGATATGATAATGCGTTTACCAAACATTACATACTGTCATAAAAACTATCTATTTAAGAAAATTAGAATCGTAGAAAGAAAAATTGTTCTATAATTAAAAATAATTAAACCCACATCCCTTATGAGAAAAAAAAAAGATTATATTTACATAATTCTTAAGGGACCAAACAAAATCATTTCAAGTAACTCAAATGTTATCATCATGTCAAATCAAAACGATCAAGTCTTTGAGGAAAATAAAGTTTTACAGAAAATAATTGAATAATTTCTTACTTGAGGTGTGTTGTTTGGCGGAAAGGGTTGTTGCATATTTGGAGCAGGTCCCGGACTTGGGTACTGCCCTCTCTTCTGGTTCATGTGCATTGCGGGACTTGGGTACGGTGCCAATCGCCTATGGTAGACTTGTCCTCCGTTTCCGCCCTGCAAGTGATAATGATAAAATTTAAAACAAAACTATCATAGTTAACTTCAAAATAGATATAAGACATTTAATAATAAATAATCTTGACTTGATAAGAAAAATATTATATTACTTATATTATATCATACATTATGATATATATTATATCAGTCTTCCTTCAAAAATTTAGAGAGGATAAAAAGTTTCATGAAGAAATGCATGTAGTGAACCAAACTGACGATAAAAATTGATTCAGAACACATTCTTTTTTTTAATTATGTATCTTTACATTTGTAACAACAAAGTTTAAAATAATATTATTATATAAAGTTTATTGAAAGATGGAATGCAAGGGAATGGATTAAAAAAAAAAAGTGAAAAAATTAGTTAATACCATTATCGATCTTTCATTATATAACAACTAATGGTAACTATATATGAACCATATCAACAAAAGTTTAGTGTTCGACTGGAAATATGGGGAATGAAATAATTAAATATTTTGTTTGAGATGTGATATCTCATATCAGAGAAATGACTACTTTATAATTCGGACAAAAATATTGTTTCAATATACTATTAAAAATCTTAATATCGTCCAAGTTTTGTATATTATTCATGATTCTAAGGAAGCATATCAAAATAAATAATATTTGTATTTTCCACCAGTGATAATACAAGTTGATCAATAGAAAAGATTATTATCAAATAATCCAATATTTATCATAAAGTAAGTCCAGACTTGCCTACAAATAGAGGTGTTATCAGTCATGGTGTGCCATGATATTATCAAAACATGGAACGAAATTTGTTGTTAGTGAAGTATCACTTATTTTTCATATAGCTTCAAATAGACTGATAACAGGCAATAGCATATATGAAACATGAGGGAAGATGGCTTGTTAAATATGTAGTAAATTCATTCATAAATTTAGTGAAAGTACTACGTAATAGTGTATTAGTGAATTATTGGAGGAAGTTAGTCAACTATAATGACTGCGTACTGAATATTTATCACCCATTATAATATATTATATTTTAATAGGGGAGTTGGCTTGTAAAGTACATAATAAATTCAGTCATCAATTTAGTGAAAGTATTATATATGAGATTATAATATCGGCACTTTACCTGCATTGGCATTCCTTTCATGGGTCCTCCGCCCGGCTGCATAGCTCCTCCAGGGATCATCCCACCGTGCATTGGTCCAGATTGCATCATTCCCATCCCCATCTGTCCCATCCCGCCCATTCCGTTCATCGGCATGTTAGCAGGAGGGCCTCTTTGAGCATAACCGCCAGTATTGTACTGGCCTCCCACCCCCTGCATCTGTAATCAAACAATAGAATGATAAATCACATAAAAAAATTATTAAAATTATATATTTTAAACGCAGATAATAGTTAAAAAAAAAAAAAATTGTAATTGTAGTTGTTGCAGCAAAAAATCTTATTTATCAATTTTTGTAGGTCTATTATCATTTATCATGTGATAAATATGATGAGAATTTATCTATACAAAATTATGACATTTAGAAAGGGACAGTTGACATTTTCCACTTTCTTAAGAAGTTTGCTTATTGTGAACTATATTACATATAATTAATCATTTTAGCATAACAATTCTACTATACTGTCATATCATTTTCTCTAAAATTTATCATTCGATTTAACTTAGTTAAAATTTGTTAGTTCAGAGATATTGATTTGTATTTTAAAGAAAGGACAGCGAACATATAAAAATGATGTAGTGAATTCATAAAATTGTAAAAGAGTGCAAAAAATGTATTTTTAAAAAACTTTATTGTTTGTTGTCATAAAGAATTCAATTTAATCTCAATGACAACAGGCTTTAGTTCTTTTTTGTTGGTAAACAATAAAAAGAAAATAAGATAAAGAACATATTAAATCAATTATTAATTCATTGAGCTCCTTCTGTCTATTAATAATTTTCAGAAGGGTTTTTGTTTGCTTCAAAGCCTCTTCAATGAAGTAACAAAAATATGATGTTGATAAAATTGTACCGGTTTCTTATGGATAATAATTAATTCGATTTAAAAAATCGTATTATAAGAAGTATCTCAAAGATAAAAACAAATTCAATTTAGAAATCAAAAGTTATAATTATGTATGACTATGTCACTACATGAAGGTTACTTGAGTTGTAGCTGATTGAGAATAAATAAATATTTTTATAAAAGTTTTAAGTTAATTTAATATTTTGGACATACCTGAAGCATGAAATAATTTCTGAACTTGATTTCAAGATTTTGGTTGAAATATCCACTAACTGCTTGCTTGATGAGTGGTTGGGGTTGAGGCACACCCAACATTTGGTTATAAGATTGATAAAAGTATCCTTCCATGATAGAAGACGAAATACTAAGACACGCTACAGTGGACACTAGTCAACACTCTTGCTCTGCCTGAGAGAAACTGACCAAGAAAATGTTGGACAAGAAGAGCACACTAAGGGTCTCTGTACCTGGATGAGGTCAGCCAATGGGATGCAAGGTCAGGTTGCCGAAAATCTTCCGGGACGAAAGGTTCTGACAGCGCCTCCTAGGTTCTGGGCGGGAAATCGAAAATACTAATTTTGGAGGGAAACTGGGAATAAATTTCTATATTAATATTTAGTCCATGGTACAGACCTTTTTTTTTATCAAATTATTAACATCCGACTGAAACCTCGCGAGTAGCTTCATTTCATCGTAACCTATTTCATTTACGAAAATTCTTGGAATTGTAGCGTTTTCAATCTGGAGATCGCAAAACTTGTCTATTTAATTAGGTACTAATAAACTCAAGATAATCCATCTGCTTTCCACTTGGATTGTAAGATAATTTGATTAAAAAGGTGGCCAAATAAAATATTGGTTGGTTTGGCCTAAACAACCTCGCTATTTTGACGCCTGGGCTACATTTGACAAAGGACACATTTTTTCTTTATTTTGTGCTCACATTATCTTACGATTGAAGGAGAAAACAAATGGGAATTCATGAATTTTTAGTAGTTAATTAAACAAACAAAATTTACCGATCTTTAGATTGAAAACTCCGAGTTTTAAGTGTGTGATGAAGCTATTTATGAAGTTTCAATTCATTAGAACAACCTATCAAATTATCAGAAGTCATTATTATTAGAATTGAAGACTTCGATTCTGGTAGAAAAATATCTACATATAGCAGCACTCACTAGCGGATCCAGGATTTAATTTTTTGGGGGGGGGCTTCAGCCCGAAAGCTTTTTTTTCATAAAAATGACGATAATTACTTTGGAAAAAAATAAAGATACTAACTACCTATATGAAGTGGTGTTTAAGTGATTCCTAAAGTCCTTTTAAATGTAATTACACGAACAACAATACTTTAAAAGATAATTTTTTAACATTTTTTTTTCCATAAAACATGGTTATATTTTACCACCTCGTAAATCCGCCCGTGTATAGCAGAAAACTCCATGCTATTGAACTTTCGGGTTTTTAAAATACGCTACAAAGAATTTATTTTAATTTTATATTTTCTGATAACTGGTAAGATTGTTTAATAATTAAATTTGTTACTTAAACCGTTTTAAAATCAAATAACATTGTTAACAATTAGTCATACCTATTCTCGGAAAAACGCAACTTAAATTTTGGAATTTTTACAGGTAGACGTTCCATTTTAAAGTTTCAACGCATAAAAAAAGGAAAATCCATATCTGTAATAGTTGCATAATTTAGCCATTAGACGCAAAGAAAGAAAAATATTTTTAATTGTACGTGAGTTCTAAAAAATGTGTTTCGTTATACTCCTGGTTGACAAAAGAAACAAAAATCAAAACTTATATTTTTTGTTTTTATCATTAGAATGATAGTCCGTGGTACTTCCCTTATTTTATCAAATTATTAACATTCAGCTAAAACTTCGTAAATAGTTTCATCTCATCGTAACCTACAAATATTTTATTTACGAAAAGTCTTGGAATTGGGGCGTTTTCAATCAAGAGATCGGCAAACTTTGTCTATTTAATAAGGTGCTAAAAACTCATGGATTTGCTTTCCACTCAAATTGTAAGAAATATGAATACAAACTCGAAAAAAAGCTGGCCTAGAAAAATAGTGAGCCGCTTGGGGTGACCTTCATTCCCAAAACGTCAAAATAACATGATTGCATAGACAAAACAGCCCAATATTTTTGTAAGACATTTTTTTTTTATTTTGTGGTCATATTGTCTTATGGTTCAAATGTTAAGCAAATGGATATTCATGGGTTTTTAGCACCTAATTAAATAGACAAAGTTTGCTGGTCTGCAGAATGAAAACGCTACAACTCCGAGAACTTCCTTAATTAATTTTGTAGGTACGATCAGATGAAACGATTCACGAAATTTTAGGTGAATGTTAACAATTTTATAAAAAGGGATCTGTACCACGGACTCTTAATCCTATGATAGAAACAAAAAATTCTGGTAGAAGAATATCAAAATATAGCAGAAAACTTGTCATTGAAATTTTATGTTTTTAAAATACGTATTTTAATCGTATATTTTATTTATTTTCTGATCATTGATAACATTATTTAATAATTAAATTTGTTATTTAAACCAAATAACATTAATAACAATTAATCATATTTTCTGAAAAACGCAATTTAAATTTTGTAATTTTCACAGTTACGAGTGAAATTTTAGTGTTTCAACGCATAAACATTCATATTTAGGAGGAATATTCATCTCTGTAATATCTTCTTAACTTAGCCCATTAGCCACAAAGAAAGGGAGAAAAATTAACTTTCTTCAGATACTTACAAAAATTCACAGAATTGCACTTAATACACTTTTCACAATATAAAAAAAAAAAATTAAAACTTAAAAAAATAAGAGAATTTTTTTTTTACTTGTCCAAATTTGTTATTATCAGTGATCTGAAGATACGTTATCAATCACAATATAGTCGGTTTATTGCAAAAAGTTATTGGATGGCATTTCATAATTTTGATAAATTTTCTCCTTTTAAAATCAGAAAATTCAGCTTTTGTTGTAACTATATTTAATATATATATATATATATATATATATATATATATATATATATATATATATATATATATATATATATATATATATATATATATAAAAGGGCTACTTAGCGACTTTTTACAATAAACAAATAATATATTCTCTAACTAAATTATATAAAATATATTTCAGCTAGTAAAGGAGGGCACGTAACAAAGAAAAAAATGCAAACATTTTATCCCTAAAAGCATTTTTTATTCATTTTAATAAAAATAAAAAAAGTTTTGTCTCTCTCTATAATTGAATCTCGAATCCATTACTTCATGTTATCGACTATGTGTAAATCTATATTTATAAAATTATTTTAAATTTGAAACAATTATAACAACTTAAATATAATTCATAATGCGTTAATATTATATAAAATACCTAATATATACTAATATCTTAGGTCTCGGGTTTATCACTTTAAAATGCCTTTATACACGAATTAACAATAATCTTTTTATAATAATTTAATTAATTTAATAAATAAGATTAATCTTGAATAAGTTTCAGGAAATATCTCCAATTCATTTTTACTGTTGTTATTAAATATTATTATTATGATTTTTTGTTGTTAAATATTATATTAACAGAAAAAAATTATAGATACAAACGAAAGTTAAAATGGATGTAAGGATTAGGCAACGCAAATAACTAACATAAGAACTTTAAAACTTTCTCTTTCGGTTCTAAGAACATGTACCTGAAAAGGTAAATTTACAGTAAAATGAAAATTCGGTCATAGCAGCTGCACGCACTTCAGGTAAGTGCATGTGCAATATAGTTGTACCCAACTCATATTTTCCATAAAGTGTAGTGCGTCATAAAGTTTTTTTTTACTTTCCTATGCAAAGCTTTTAAAGTAAAAATATTCTCTGAAATAAAAAAAAAAAAAAAATCGTTAAACGTGATTTACAGATTATTATTTCATGGTGAGTTGTGTAAAATAATATAGATAGGACTATTTTTCACGTGTGAAGGAGAAGAATAGATGCAGTTATGCCGTACCGACAAAAAAACATCTTTTAGAAATAATACATAGGATAATTTTTATTTTTAAAAATATAAAATAAATAAACGAAGATAACTTCATAGTTTAAATATTCAATATTTTAATTAGGACCTGGATAAAATTTATAGAGGCGCAATTTAAAAAAAAAAAATGCTAAAAAATATTTTTGTTATTTTTTTTATTCCGATTTATTTTATTTTAAAATATACCAGCATATACAATATTATTACGGTACAATTATTATTAGCTGTTTCTCAACATAGATGTAGTG